CCTGAACTAAATTGTTTAACTGACTTCCCAAGACAAAAGGAGGGAGGGAGGGAGGGAGAGGGCGGAGGGGGGAAGAAGAGAGAAGGGAAAGGAAGAGAAAAGGAAAGGAGGGGAACGGAGGGAAGGGAAGGGAAAGGGACACATCAACAGGCCAGTTTTGCTGCCATGATAAGAAAACACCCTTAGTTTTAACTTTTACAAGAAAAGCTACTTTGACATGACCAAGCTCCTTTTTGTTCTGTTTCTGCTCTCCTCAGCCCTTTTGTGTTTAGGAAGCCAATCTTTGTTCAGCTCAATGGGACCCTTGTTCTATCAAACAATTCTAGAATTGCAAATAAAAACCAACCAGGGTCTTTAAATGTGCTGTGATTGTACCTTCTGACAGAGTTCCAGGGAAATGCTGTGTCTGTGAAGCTGAAGAGAGGCTGATTGTGTATTCAATAACCGGCAATTGTTGGAGATTAATGTGATTAGCGGAAAAGGACACAAACCTACACGTTAATGCTTTCCCAGAAAAACAGTTCAAATAGAAATTTCCAGAACCTTACCCCTAGTTCTTTTGGTACACTTTAGAATGTGCATTAAAACCTCTGGAGAGTGTGCATTTGATTTATGAGTATTTATTAATCACTTACTGTGTGTTCCAGCCATTGGGCCAGAAGAGTGAGCCCGGGAGACAAAGCCCTTCCTTTCATAGAGGTTATTATTAGTGGGAAACAGTGGGCAAGAAAGCCTACGGCTAAAGGCCATCATTTCAAGGCAAGCTATGACTAGGCTATAATGAAGTGGGTGAGGAGGCGGTGTCAACAAAGCTATTTTTGAAAGGTCAGGAAGGCCTCTTAAGGAAAAGTGACCTCTAAGCAGGGACATGGGTGAGTTTTGAGAGAGCTCTTGGCAGAGCCCTGGGCAGGAACAGGGACTCCTCAGTGTTCTCAGGCAAAGGACAGCCCAAGATGAGCTCTCAAGGTTTGGTGTATGAGGGTTGACGGAAAACGATGGTGGATGTCTACCTTTTTAAAACAATCTATTAGAGTAGAAAACCCACTGCCATGAATCTCCTGCAAAATCATTCCACTTGTTTTGAACACTTATCCCATGTTCTCACCACTTTCTGAAACAGCTCTGAGTCTTCTTTCCTAAGTGTTTTATGCAGTATGATCAGAAATACAGTAAATGTTGCTGTCAAGTGCCACCCAACAGAAAGGCAGGGTCTTAAAAACACGATGGTGGGCTGTGTGTGGTGGTGCGCACCTGTAATCCCAGCACTCGGAAGGCCAAGGCAGGAGGATGGCCATGAGTTCAAGGCCAGCCTGGGCTACACAGTGAGCTCAAGGCGAGCCTGCACTATAGAGTGAGAGCCTGTACTATAGTGTGTCAAAAAGAAAAATGATGATGTGTCTTCACTCACCTTATTTACCCAGATCTGGTACTGTGAAATTTCTGGCTTTTCCTCAAAATCAAAATGAGCATGAAATTCAACATTTTAAATTGATTCAGGACATTGAGGCAACCAGAAAAAACTCAACTAAAGACACTCATGAAAGAGGACTTCGAGAGTGGCTGCAGAAAGTGGCAAGAAAGAGAGGACAAATGTTTTCAAAGCAAGGGGTGTGTTGAAGTGGCTTACTGCAATGTGCCTTTTACTGTCATAAATATTGTCTAAAAAGTGAACATTCACCATATATTTTGATCTCACCACTTACCAACAATTCATTGTGGTTACCGTGGTGGTGCTTTTAATGTCCAACACTGTTAGTTTCTCTCTGTTGTTTACAAGCTTGAGAAATTGGATTTTGTTTATGAATGAAGTCTACTGCAAAGACACTGGCCTAATCCATCAGGCAGGGGATGGAGATGGTTCCACCTGAAAAGCAAGGACTCAGCAGACTGTTATAAAACAAAGAGAAGTTCCCCAAAGGAAGGGATGCAGAGTCCACAGAGCAAGCTTGCTTCTGTCCCTGAGTCACAACCCTGCTCTTCCTTGCCTCTCCTCTTCCTAGGTTTCTTCTCCACTTTACCCATAGTGTAGTGGGGGGGTGGCTCTCCACTTTCCTAACATCCTCGGTACCCAAGAAACAGGGGTTAATGAGCGAGGACAGCCCTAGGGAAGGCACAAGGGAGGCCGAGGGAGGGGACCACACATGCCACCTGAGAGGCAGGAGGAGGGAGGGCACCAGGCTCATGCAAGGGAAGAGTCCAAGGCCCTGTGCACACTGGTCTGGGTTCCAGGTCTGCTGTGGATTATGTGACCTCCAGGTCCTCTTCATCCCCAAAGCAGCCTGTTAGGAATCAGCTGGACAGTTCTATCTTCTTTGGGGCTCTTATCAAAGCTTAGGCTGGTTCTGATCAACCACTAGAGGCTGCTTCTCTTCCGGAGAGAGGGCTTCATCTCTCAGCGGACCAGCATCCCTATGCATGCGTGCGCACGCGCGCGCGCGCACACACACACACATACACACACACACCAGTGCTGCAATCTGGTGGAAGACTCAATCAGACCACTTGGATCACATAAATAAACTGCCTGATGGAATCAAGGACTCTCCTTCATACACCAGTCATCTTGTGCCAGAGACCGGCCTTCCGTTCACCCAGGGTCCCCTGGACTTGCTGCTGGGCAAGTTCACAGGATGGGCGGTAAAAACGACATACAGATGCAATTCTTCTGTGTCAAAAAATCCCGGATGACATGCACTTGGAGCTGGACTCCATCTCTTCTGCCAAGTGCTGGGTTACTACAGTTCATCAGGAAAACTGTTCGAAATTTGCAAAGCCTTCAAATTTGCCTTGGGGAGTCTCTGCCTCTTGGCTTGCTTGTAGCTCCTCCTTTGTGACCAGGAGATGGGTCTGATAATCACACACTGGGTTGCATAACTCTTATTATTCTGACCACAGTAGCCTAGCGCACAAAAGAGAGCCCGTGTTTGGCATTTTCTGGTTCAGATAAACAGCTTCATCTAAAGACAACTGCAGACGTCCTTCTCCCAGCAGAGAGGTCTGTTCCCGGTCCCGAGGCTGGAGGGTCTGCAGGGACAGCAGCAGAGCAGAAATGCCTCCCCGTGCCCTCCACACGCCCTCCTTCCTCCTTCCTCACCAGGCACTTGCTCTCTCTGGCTCCTTCCCCATGGCGAGGCCACACACAGAAAAGAAATGGGACCCAGTGAGTCCTGGCGCTTCCCACAGGCCCTGGTGCCGCAGGAGGGGTGGGAGGTGGACAGCAGCCAGGGTCCTGCAGGCACTTGAAGACGCAAGCAGATACAGTGGGCCGGTGTGGTCCCTCCCCATCTTCCTTGCTGCCTGTCCTGCCCGCCCTGCCTGGGGTCCTGGCTTCCTCCCACAGTAGGGACCACATCCCAGTCACAGGATGTCAAAGTGGCAAGGAGGAGGATGCAGCTTTGATCTGGGCAGAGGAGGGGCACTGCCAAGGCCAGAGGCAAGTTGGTGGCCAAGCTGAGCCCTCCTGTCATGGTTCATGACCCTACACTCTTTCCACAAATTCTACCATGAAGTAGCCCCCTGAACTGCGTTGTTGGGAGATTCTCATGGATCCAGTTGCCCTGTGTAAATAATAATGACCTGTCAGACAATAACTAGGCCATATTCTAGTTGGCCGTAGCATTAGGGAGAGGAGACTTCAAAGTGCCTTTTCATCAAGGTCTCGGAAGTGAATAGGGTTTGGTGACCTAATGGATGCATTCAGTCTCCTAAACACTTCCTTCTTCTTCTGAGCATCCAGTGATCCTTTACATGATTTGTCCCTAACACCTTTGGCTCTGGACCTCCAAAAGATTACAGATGCTGGGGAAGGAAGGGTCCTTAAATGCATTGCCGTAGACCCAACTCTCAGGGTCCACAGGTGAGCATGTTAGAGGCAGGTGCCTAGCTAATGTGGCCTCTCCATAGTTCATCTACAGCTGTGTCTGCAGGCCCCACTGAGGCCTGACGATCACATAGTTGCTTGGTTAGTGAAGCTGGCCAGTTAACAGTTAAGCTGTGTAATTTAAGCTGGGATGGTCCTTATGCCACTTGAATTAGTTTATTTGCCAGTCTTTCTAGGGAATTAACTAAGCGGCGCAGTAATCAGGGGCCTGCAAACACTTGCCTGGCAAGTGTGATGTCCTGAGTTCGAGTCCCAGTACCAAAAAAAAGATTATTTGCCAGCCTGCAGGATCCATTTAGGAGAAAGTAACCACCAGTCATCCAGTGTCCAAACAGCCAGCCCTGTGGCTATCCATCCACTCTGCAGCATGTGCTAATGTGGTAGAACCAAAGGTGCCTCTGCAGTTACATCCAGGTGCTTAGAATGGGAAGCAGGAAGCATCACACAGGCTACAGGGAGAGGGGCTGCACGGACGCTTTTGGTATTCACAACCTCAGTTCTGCCTGTTACAGAACTGGTCTGTCCCTTCCACATCTGGCTCTAGTGACCATAATGATAGACCTCACAATGGGGAGACTGCAGTTCAGGGAAACGGGGGCCAGCCGAGGGTCACACAGCAAGCTGACTCTGGTTCCTAACCCCGGCTCTGTTCCCTGAGCCACGTTCCAGACCAGGGACCACATTGGTGGTGTTCCTGCTCCATCTCGGGGAAAAGGATCACTGACTTTTCAGTTACACAAAAATGAAAAATAAATACCAGATGCTTGAAATCCTAGTATACCACATCTTTCCAGAACCTAACTGCACATTCTAAGTGAAAAAATCAAAGTAGAAAATCCACAGGGCAAAAAGATGTTTTGAATAAAAATGCTCCCCCACCTCTCTCTTGCTCTCTCTCTTTCACACACACACACACACACACACACACACACACACACACACACAATATCTCATTGTTTCTTTTTCAGGGAGCAGCTGTGAAGGAAACTGGGGGAGGGGACAGACACAACATTCCATCTTTGTGTTTCATACAGAGCTGAGCTTTTAGGCCAGCCTTCCTGAACCCTAGGGGGTGTGGCATGCGTGACTGTCAAACGCCAATGACCTGACGGCAGCTTATAAAATAACTTGGGAGAAGCTGCTCACAGGCATCTGAATTTGAATGACCCTGCATGTGGAGACTGCCTTCATCTTATTTTGAAAAGGTAGGTACTGTAGTTTTCATTTTCATTTACGATCAGTGATGCTTAAAATAGAGCCCGGCATGGCTTTCCACTGCCCCTTTGCAAACACGATATACCATGACTCCCGCGGATGGAGGGCTTGTACAGGAGCTCCACAAACGCAGTTTCATTTTTCCCCAAACTGGCAAGGTAGATACGACGAGGGCCACTTTTCAGATGAGAAGATAGAGACGGGGTTATGCCAAACAACGGGCCTCTGGTAAGGCCAAGCCCAATGCTGACTCACCCCAAAGTCTTTGCCCTCCCTCTAACAAAAAAGACAAGAAGAAAAGTTCCATGCACTGGTACTGCACTATGTGAACTCTCCAGGAGTGATCCAACTGTGCCTGACAGTAAAATCAACCAAAACCCGGAACTGATTGGGTGAGCAGAATATTGAACAATATGGCACAAGGATATTTTTGTTGAAGCTAGGCACGGTGGTGCACCCCTATAATTCCAACACTTGGGAGGCTGAGGCAAGAGGATCACTGCATGTTCAAAGCCAGCCTGGGCTACAAAGTAAGCTCAAGACCAGCTTGAACTATATAGCAAGACTCTCTCTCAAAAGAACAACAGAAAAGAAGAAAGAAAGAAAGAGAGACAGAGAGAGAGAAAAGGAAAGAAAGAAAGAAAAAGAAAAAGAAAGATAGAAGAAAGAAAGAGAAAAAAAGGTTTTTTGCTTTGTTTTTTGTTGTGGTGGTGCTTGTTTTTGAGACAGGGTTTCACTACATAATTCTGGCTGGCCTTAAACTCACTGTGTAGCTCAGGCTGGCCTCAAACTCAGAGTGATCCTTCTGCTTCAGCCTCCCAAGTGCTTGGATTACAGGCATGTACCACACCACACCTGGCCAAGAAAAGATACTTCATTGATAAGATACAATTGTAACTAGAATCTGTGGATAAATGGTTTTTCAAAGACATATTTACCTGTGGAAACATTTTATGTATTTTATCTTATTATGTAAAACCTCAACAACTTCTGCAATTTCTTGAGCTCCATGGTGACACCCAGGTGCTCTTGGGAGACTGGGGCTGAAATGTACCAGGCTTCATTATTGACTAGGAAGTAACCTGGGCAAGTTAACTTCATAGAGGACAAGGAGGATGTCACCACAGGTGGCTTCTAAGTGGGACCCTGTGGAATTCAGCACAGAGCACCGTTATGCGCAGCAGCCGGGCTGCCCCCTGCCCCCGGGGAAGCTCGGAGGCAGCAGTGGTTCATGCACAGGCAGCACCTGGTTGGGTGGACAGTCTGCAGGCTGAGAAGCATCACTACTACATTTTCTCATACTCAATTACAGTTATGCTTAAATTATATATTTTCTAGAAAGTAAGCTTTTCCTTGGGATAATCTTCCTAGAGGTATCAGAAGAAGATACAAAAATAGCTATCACAGGCACTGCATATGTTACCCAAGGCCACACACAGGGTGAATAATGTGCTCAGTGAGCGTTGGCCGAATCGGAATAGAAGTGTAGAAAACATTAGGCATGGAACCAACCCTCCCTCCTGCAAGCAGTGTTCACCCCAGGAGCAAAACTCCCGCAACTAAGAGTCATCCTTGGAAGAGGAGCACCCGGGAGTGATTAGCCTCGCTCTGGAAAGCCTCTTACTGAGCAAAAGAGCGTGTTACAGCCAACCAAACCATTTTTGTAATGAGACATCTGTCAGAGTGAGACCCGGAACTGACTTTTGTTGTCACTTCCGGGTGGTGAAGCGAGGCTCATCGGTCACAGAGGCCGCGGGTAGTGAAAGGTGCCAAGGTGGGGTGAGGCAGGAGTAACCAGGTGCTTCCGGCCGAGGGCTGGAGATGGGCCCAGGCCCAGTAAGGTCCCCTGCTGGGCCTCAGTTTCCCCGTCTGCCTATCTTTGGGGGTGGGGAATGACTGGGAGAGATATCTTTTAAGGTCCTATTTGGGGGACTTTGTGGAATGTCCATACCACGTGCCACCTGTTGGGGTCCAATACTCTGGGCAAGCCCTGGGTTGGGACTACTTGGGTATAGCTCCTGGGGCTCCAGGAATTTTCTCTTGAAAACGAATGCAAAGTCGTGTGGGTTTTGGCTGGGTTTCCGAAAACCTTCTCCTCCTGGAGGTTAAGAGACAGATGTTGTTTACACAGTGGTGGGAGCTGGTGGGAAACGGAACCCTAGAGACTAAGGAAGGTGGTCGTGCCCAGGATAAGCCCAAGAGCAGCTTCAGAGCCACCCAGCCCCACCCCTCGCAGCCCCCACCAGCTCTCCCTCATTACATAACTGTTCCCATGAAATCCAGGCAACAAAGCCTCCAAGAAAAGCTATTGATTATTAAAGTTATTTGGAGGCTCAGAGGCTCATAATAAGGTGGTTATAATTACTCCTGTTATGACACATCCTTTTAAATGCTCCGATCTGAGAACATTTTGCTTGCTTTGACTCAGTCCTCTTCATCACAGGGAGAGAAGCTGAGAGCTGGAAATAGCTCATGTGCAGCAACAGACAAGAGTCACAAGGAAAGGAACAGGCCGAAAGCAAGTTAGAGAAGGAGGCAGGGAGGGACACAGGACACCCTCACCTGCAAGCCACTGCCACCAGAGGACCCCTCGGGACAAATGCGTGTTGCATAGTTACATGATAGCTGACTGTTCCGTGGTTAAATGTACTTCATCTATGGAAAATACCCTTAATATAATATTTTTTAAAATTCAGAACCAGGCACAGTGGTGCAGGCACTTGGGAGGCTGAGGCAGGAGGATCACAAGTTTGAGTCCTACCTGGGCAACTTAGCAGGACCCTGTCTCAAAATAAAAACTAAAAAGAGATGGGGATGTAGCTCAGTGATAGAGCGCCCCACTCACACTGTATGGGGTGGGGAGAGAAATTCAGGAAATACCATGCTGTTTGTGCTTTTCATCATAACAATAATTAGCATTTATTGAGCGTGTACTCTGTGTCACATGCTATCCTGAGTACTCTGTCTACATTATCTCATTTAATTTTCATCAACATTCACGTGATGGGCATGATTATTATTCCTGCTTTATAGGTAAAGAAACTCAGGTCTACCTTGCACAGAGTTGTACCTGGTTCATGGCACAGCCAGAATTTGAACCCGGTCGGGATAACCCTGGAGTCCCTGGCACACTGTCCCTGTTAAGGCTTCCAAACCACCACATCCTTGGCACAGCCCAGCAAGTGCGGCAGGAGTGGGCTGTGGGGACCAAGGAACGGTTCCCTTATGAGTCTCATGGGACACTGAATGTTGTGCTTGGCTTGGTTTTGGATTTTTCTTTCACAGATCGCTGGAAGACTGTTTTCCCCTCTACTTATCTTCTCCAGACACAGACGGGCACGCACGCACTCACGCACGCACAAATGCACGCACGCACCACGCATGCGCACACACAGTTTCTGTTCCTTCAAGAAGAACCTACCGAGCCAGGCACTTCAGGATCCTAGAGGTGACTCGTGGGGGGTCTCAAGTGAGGACAGAGGCTCTAGGGTGCAGGACTTAGCGTGGACAGTCGGATAGGCGTCCCCTGGAGGGGGCGGGCTCTGGACTCAGGACACAGAACGTTCTCCGTCGTGTGTCATTGTGCATCTTCTGAAGCCCAGGCAGCTCTAGCTCTTCGTCTCCCCCCACTCCAGGCTCCTTCTGCAGCTGCCCGGCCCCAGGATGGTGACGATGCTCGTGCTGCTTTCCACGCTGGCAGGCCTTGTTGCAGAGGCTGAGGGAGCAGTGCACTTCGGGAAGTGCCCGAGCCCCCCGGTGCAGGAGAATTTTGACGTGAACAAGGTATGAGAAAGGCTGACCTCCCAGTGTTTTCTGTTTCTTGTTCAAATAAGCATCCACTGCAGGTTTGGATTTTTGTGGTTGGTTGTTTGTTCGTTCATTTGTTTTTGAAATAGAATTTCACTATGTAGTTCAGGCTGGTCTGGAATTCACTATGTAGCCCTAGCTGGCCTCAAACTTCCATCAATCCTCCTGCCTCAGCCTCAGGTGGACACCACCACTCCCAGCTCATGGCCCCACTTTATTTATTTTTTATTTTTTGGTCTTTTTGAGACAGAGTCTCACTATGGAGTTCAGACTGGCCTTGAGCTCACTTTGTAGCCCAGGCTGGTCTTGAACTTGCAATGATCCTCCTGCCTCAGCCTCCCGAATTACAGGCGTGGGATTACAGGCATGTGCCACCATGCTTGGCTAAGTAATTTTTGTTTGTTTATTTATTTATTTTTTGTACCGGGAATCAAACTCAGGACCTTTGTTTGCCAGGCAGGCACTTATGCCACTGAGCTATATCCCCAGTCCTTTGGCCCCACTTTATTATCCTACTTTAACCTCCACACCAAACTCTGGGAAAGGTGCCTGCCTTACCTTTGGGCTTCCTCAAAGCAGATTCTGAAGCCAGGATGGGGTGGGGAGTGGGACAGACGGTTTTAGGCTAACGATTCCAGAAGCACAACGAGCCACGAAGAACAATGAGACCCAGAAGGCAGTGAAGTAATAAGGGATAAACAGAGAAGCTCAATCCTGGTGGGGATCCTCTGGAGAGATGAGCAGAATACACTGCAACTTACCCTGGGGCGGATGCCAGCAGGTCAGGACCGGGACTGCCCGGCACTAGTCAAGCCCTCTGATAGAGGAGAGATGGGGTATTGGGGGCCAAAGGCAGTATGTATAGGAATTCCCTCTGCAGGAGAGAACTCAGACCTGTGGGAGGGGGCACTAACTGTGGCTGCTAATAATAACAGTATTATTATCCCATTCTGCAGAGAGAGAAGTTGAAGGTCCCCCATCCCAGGTGACACAGCTAATAAATGCAAGTAGGGTCCAAAAAAGGTGAGGCTTTCCCACAGTGCAGCATACCCCCAGCTTATTCCAACAGCCTAGGAAAGGCCAGAACTCTGAAAGGGCTCTCTTACTACCTGCACTAAAAAGATATCCATTACAGCCCAGAGTGATGCACGCTGTCATCCCAGCGCTTAGGAGGCTGAGGCAGGAGGATCTCCGTGAGTTCAGGGCCTAGGCTATCTAGTGAGTTCAAGACCAGCCTGAGCTGCATAACGAGACCCTGTCTCAAATATATAGGTAGATTAATGATAGACAGATAGACAGCCAGCTCTCCCACGAATTGCCTTCTTGGGATAGGAGCAGAGGGAGCATCAGAAAAGATCCAGAGAATTTGAGGGGGATTTTAATTTGGGGGTATTTCTAGACATTTCTGGAATTACAATTAATCTATATTTACAAAAGTTCTTTGAGAACTGAAACTGAATTTCTTTTTTAATTTTAAAGAGTAAAAGAAGGATAACATAATAATGGGGAGGGGCTTACCAAATTACAGACAAAGTGGTAGGAATTATCAATAGTTATTGTTTTACATATTGTTATCTACAAGATAGTGTCTCAGGAAAACAAATAGACAAATAATAGTGAGTTACAGACAAAAGTAGTAGATTATCAATAGTTGTTGTACTATACTTTCGTATCTTCAAAGTGGCTTCTAAAGAAAATAAATAGAGCTATACATGAGTGACCAGTTGAAAAATCATTAATTATTCTCAATAGTTGTTGTAGGAAACACATAATAATAAACATACATCCATTTACAAAATAGCATAGGAATAATACAAACATTACAGAGTTATGGACAGATTAGTAGGAAAATATCAATGGCTGCTGTAATACATGGTGGTATCTTCAAAGTGGTTTCTCAGGAAGACAGAGATACGCAAGAAAGATCTACCAAGTAGTTACAGCCTAAGGGTTGTGAAAAATAGCATATTACCTCCTGACCAGAGACTCCTTTCACTGAGGTGTGACGGCTGGAAGGAAGGCCAGGATTGAAAAGAAGGACCGAGAGACTTGCACCTGTGTTTAGCAACACGCTCTTTCCTTTTTCTTCCATCGTCATGGTTACCCGGGGCTCCTCCATGGAGATGCCATGAAACTGAATTTTTAAAATACAAGTTTTATTGTATGAATTTTATTGTACTAGTTCATGTACCACACCATTGCCTTTTTTTTTTTGTACTGAGAATCAAACTCAGGACCTTGCACTTGCCAGGCAGGCACTTGTGCTGCTGAGCCATATCCCAAACCCCATACTATTGACTTTAAAGCAGCGTTTGCTTTCAGTCATTTTTAGTACATTCCCTGTTATGCAACCGTCATTACAATGAATTTTAGAACACTTTCATCATCCTCAAACCCATTAACAGTCACTCTCCCCACCCTCCAACCCTTGCAGCCCCTGGCAGCCAACATTCTGCTTCCTGTCTCTCTGAATCTGCCCATTTTAGACACTACATAGAAATGGAATCACAAAATATGTAGTTTTTGTGACTGACTTCTTAATATCATGTTTGCATGGCTCAGCCACATTGTGGTGTGTATCAGTGCCCATTCTTTTTTATGGCCAAATAATATTCTACTATGTGGATTATGCCACATTTAGCCACTCACATTTGCATTGTTTCTACTTTGTTTTTACTGCTAGGAATCATGCTGCTATGAACATTCATGGTCAAGGAGTTGTAGGGGTAGGGAGGCTCCATTTTTTGGCTCCCTTGGGCATAAACAGAGGATAGAATTGCTGATGTGATAACTCCATATTTGACCTTTTGAGGAATTACTGTAGTATTTTTCAAAAATTTGCACCACTTTACAGTCTCATCAGCAGCATATAATTCTAATTTCCTGGCATCTTTACCAATATTTATTGTTGTCCTTTTGATTATGCTCATTTTAGTCGGTGTGAAGTGGTATCTCATTGTGATTCTGATTACACTTCCTTAATGACTGATGAAGTTGACTGTCTTTGTATATACTTATTAGCCATTTGTGTATCTCCTTTGTATGTCTTCTATTCCAGTTCTTTGCTCTTTTTTTAAATTTTTTTTTGGTTTTTCTCCGGTACCAGGAACCGAACTCACAACCTTGCGCTTGCCAGGCAGGCGCTTTGCCGCTGAGCTAAATCCCCAGCCCCTTTGCTCTTTTTTTGATGTCAATCATTTGCCAAGGTGACAGCCCACTTATTAAATATTTTTTACATGATTCTACATGGAATTCTAGGAAGACTAGGCAATGGTTTGCCCATTTTTAAATTGAGTTATTTATATTTTCATTATTGAGATGTGAGTTCTTCCTGTATTCTAACAACTATAAGTCCCTCATCAGATATGTTATTTAGGAACATTTGCTGTGGAATTTTTCATTTTATCAACTTGCCCTTTGCCCATAGCCAGGAACAATGGTACACGCTTGTAATAGCAGCTACTCAAGAGTGAGGCAGGAGGATCAAAAGCTCAAGGCCAAACTTAGCAAGACCTTGTCTCACAAAAGCAAAATAGAAGGGGATGGGGATATAGCTCAATGGTAGAGTGCTTGCCTGCATGTATGAGACTCTGAGTTTAATCCTCAGTAACATACACACATACACACACAGTTTTTCCTATTGATGAAACCAGTTCATCTACTTTCTTCTTTGGTTTCTTATGCTTTTGATGTCATACCTAAAAGGTCACTGCCTAATCTAACATCATAAAGATTTACTCATATATTTCAAAGAGTTTTATAGTTCATGTGCTTACAATTAAGTCTTTGGTGCATTTTAGGCTAAAATTTGTGTACTGTGTGATATAAAGATCCACCTTCATTCTTTTGCATATGGAGGTTCTGTTGTCCCAGCACTATTTGTTGAAAAGACTATTATTTACCACATTGAATAATTTTAATATCCCTATTAAAATCAGTTGACCATATATGTGAGGGTTTCTTTCTGGGTTCTCAATTCTATTCTGTTTATCTATATGTCCACAGTTAGGCCAGTATCAGACAGTACTGACTATTGTAGCACTGTAATAAGTTTTAAAATCAGAATATATGAATCTTCCAACTTTATTCTATTTTGTGTCCCTTGCATTTCCATGTGAATTTTAGTGTCATCTTGTCAATTTCTACAGAGAAGCCAGTTGCAGTTTTCATAGAGATTGTATTAGCCTAAGGAACAATTTGGGGAATATTGCCTTCTTAACAGTATTGTCCTCCAATTCATGAACATAGGCTATTTTTCCATTTACCAAAGTCTTCTTTAATTGATTTTAAAAACATCATAGAGTTATCAGAGTATAAGTTTTGCATTTTTAGCTAAATTTTTCATAAATATTTTATTCTTTCAATGCTGTTATAAACAGATTTTTAAAATTCCATTTTCAGATTGTTCACTGCCAGTATATAAACACATTTGGCTTTCATACACTGATCTGTTAGCCTTGCCGGACTCATTAGGTCTAATCAGTTTTTTTTAGATTCCTTGGGATTTTTCTACATACAAGAATATAACATGTGTAAGTAGAGATAGCTCTACTTCCCTCTTTCTAAACACTGAACTCTTCCTCTATAGATAAACTATGACCCAAAACGATTAAGAGGGCTTCTCAGCAATCCTATGAGACCAGGAAGAAATATAACATGAAGCTCAGCCTCTCACTTTTGAATCTCCTCTCTTTCTGGGGAATCATGCTTCCTTGATTTTAACTGTGGCGCTCACTTGAACAAGAGAAGAACAATTTTAAATCTACTACAGAACAGAGCTCTTTCTGAGGATGTCTGGGAAACCAGTTGGCCTTATTCACTGGTTCCTTAAATGAAGGTTGAATTCAGTGATGTCAATTCGAAGCAACGTTTCAATAAACGAGTAGGAAGTTTATGGCCCTGAATGTGGCTTCCCTTCCAGCACAGAGCCATGTGACTGGAGCAACACTGCCCCCTGTCTGCAGCTTGCTCTCCATTCATGTTTTGACTTTGTGAAGATGCGTGCGGCTCTTTAGCCTTGTTCCATTGAGTAGTATGTTTCTAAATTTCTAAAATAATTTCAATTAAGTTTTTTGACTAGATATATGCTCATAGTTCAAAATTCTGAAAGTGTCAAAGAGGGCTAGAGTTATAGCTTAGTGTTAGAGTGCCTGCCTAGCATGCAGGAGGCCCTGGATTCAATTCCCAGCACTGCAAAATAAAATAATAAAATATAAAATAAACACTAAAAGTACAAAAGAGCATACAATGAGAAGTTTTCCTTCCAGCTTTGTATGCTTGCATTTTTCTCCCTAGAACCAACCTATGCATTGTGTGTCTTTTGGAGGCAAGACATACGTACACAGACAACTACATATACCACTGTGGTAGACAGAGTAATCATTTTCCATAGTGTCCATGCACGAATTCATGGAGGTTGTGACTGTGTTACTTTACATGGAAAAGGGGCTTTTGCAGAAGTGACCAAATAATAGGTGTTGAGATGTCCAGATTAGCCTGGATATCCAGAGAAACCAATCTATTCACCTAAGTCCTTAGATGCAGAGAACCCTTCTGAGCTATGACAGAGAGATGTGATAAAGGGATAAATTGGAGAGATGCAATATGAGGTGAGCTTGACCAGACTTTAAAAAAGAAGGAAAGGGCTGGGGATTTAGCTCAGCGGCACAGCGCCTGCCTGGCAAGCGCAAGGTCATGAGTTCGATTCCCAATACCAGAAAAAAGCCAAAAATAAAAAAATTAAATAAATAAATAAATAAAAAAGAAGGAAGAGGGGTCCACAGCCAAGGAATGCTCTGTAACTTGGAAAAGGCAAGGAAACTGATTCTCCCTGGAGCCTCCAGAAGGGAACAAAGCCAACATCTCAGTGTCAGTCCAGTGAGGCTTGGGGCAGACTTCTGGTTTACAGAAGTAAAGATAATACATGTGTGCTGCTTTATGCTTGTGGTGATTTATTACATAGCATTATCTTATGATTATTATTACAGCAGCAACTGAAAGCCAGTGCAATAAGCTTTTCCCCCATTTTTAAACCTTACAGAGGTCTAATAGAGATACCATTCTGTACCTGGCTCTTTTTTTCATAGTATCTTTGAAGTAATTATATATCACTCTTTTTAGAAAAGATTGCAAGATTCCATTGAGTGAATGCACCATCATTTATTTAATGCTTGTTTAGACTTGTTTGCTGTCTTTTACTGTTACGGACAATATTGCAATAAATAGCCTTTCACATGGATCACTGCTTATATCAGGAGATGCGTTGCCAGAAGTGAAACTGCTAGGGCCAAAGAGCACATGTATTTTTAGAGCTGTTAGATTTGCCAAACTGCCTGTGTGGAGGTTGTAAATTGGTACAGTCTGTGCAAGGTGTGTAGCAATGCAAAGGTGTCTCTCCCCTTCCTTCATGGCCACAGTGGCAGCTTCTTAAAGTCGACTCCGTGCATTCAAAGATAAATGTCCCCTCCAGCCTGAGCACCTGCTGAAAGTGGTGCTGAAATGTGACCCTGCTTAGGGTCACATGAGGAACGGGCAACCAAGCTGCGTCTCCTAGCACCCTGATCTGAGTTTGTTCCAAATTCAAGGATACCTGGTAGGCTCCCAATATGTTTGTGATAAAAGGTACTATCCATCATTCAGACAGATCTCTTCCTTTTGGAGTCTAGAATTTCACGTAGATCTTGGCTGAACAGGACCCTGGGAATGCATCTAAATAAGGTGCCCTTTAGGAATAGAAAGCAGCATTCAGCCGTGCAATCGCGTGGATTTGCTGATTCTCCCTGGAATCCGTGTGGTGCTGGGTTGCCTCTGGGAACAATGCAGCCCGTTCTGCCGGTTTCCCCAGGAAAGAGCTCTGCTTCTAAAGACACAATGGGCAAGAGTTCGCGGGTCCCCAGAGAGCCACAAGGTTTAGCTCTTTTATTGTTGTCTCTGCAGTATCTTGGAAGATGGTTCGAAATTGAGAAGATCCCCGTGAGCTTTGAGAAAGGAAACTGTATCCAGGCCAACTACTCACTAAAGGAAAACGGAAATATCAAAGTGCTCAACCAGGAGTTGAGGTGAGCAACTGTGCCCATCTGGAGCCCAGCTGCAGTGGTGTCCTGGAGTGACTGGGTGCTCATGAGGTAGGAGTTGGGGAGGAAGTGGCTGTCACCAAGGCCACGTGGGGACAGTTAGAACTAAAAGGCATTCATTTATTTCCTTTACCACTTGCTGGGCATCTCCTGGATGCCGACCCTGGGAGAGGCACCAGGGACACACAGAGCTCCTGCCCTCTGGCAAAACAGAGGCTGTTAGTAAAGGACATTGGGACCACCTTGTCCAGTCTCCAAATGAAAAGCTTTTCTGTCCATCTCCTCACAGAGGGTAATGGTTTATCCCATCTCTAGGCAGTTTTACCTAAACTCTTTCTTCCTAAACAAGAATCAAATACCTGTAATACATATGCATACCTTAGGCTGTGTAAACAGAATATCCTGCAGAAGTGCTCATTTTATCATGGAGGGCTTCTCACATTGATATTTAATGCAAAGATTTACATTTTGGAAAGCAAACCTAAACTTAAAACATGGCCCAGGGAAAAGTCTTTTCATCTATCCTCCATCAACAAACATAACAGCACCAACAAACACATCCAAGCATTTCCTATGTGCAAGACATTACTCTCTGTGTGTATATACAAGTAACACGTGGGTATATATGTGTCAGTATTAGTGTGTGTACATTAATATGTATTCATTTAATCCCCAGAACAATCCTGAAGTAGGTGCTGTTATGTTTGTTGACTCATTTTTATGAATGAAAAAATTTAGGTACAGGGAGGTAACTTGTCCAAGGGTCACACAGCTAAGTGATGAAACTGGGATTCGAACCCAGGAAAAGTGACATGGGAAAGGAATCAGAAGATAGATAAGAAAAGCTGGGAACTAAGGGCTGTCCTTCCTGTCCTCTATAGGATCTGAGAGTTCCTAGGCTCACAGATGCTTTCTCTGGCCATCCTACCCCTGGCCCTGTAGAAGCCTGAAACACAAAATAGGGCTCTTAAGGGCCTCAAAGAAAGATCCAAGCATTTCAAAGCCTCAGGGAGGACTACAGAAATTGAGATGACCTCACAGGAATTTTATTGGCCCAGTCATAATCAGCTGTCCATCACTGTAATCAAATTCCTGGGGCAAGTAACTTATAAAGAAAAAAAGAGGTTATTTTGGCTCACGGCTCTGGAAGTTCCAGTTCAAGATCAATGTTCTTTGGGCCTCTGGTGAGGGTGGCCTCATGGTGGGAGTGTGTAGTGGAGAAAACCATCCACTCAGGAGCCAGGAAGTAGAAGAGAGACAGAAAGAGGCCAGGGTTCCACCCTGCCTTCAAGGGCACACTTGTAGTGACCTAAGGACATCTGAAAGTCCACCCCTTCCCAACAGTGATACAGGAAGATAAAAATTCCCAACCTGAACGCTATCTGGGATGAGTTCGTGTTCTCTAAAATCAAAGAATGAATTTTAGGAACAATGGAGGTGAAGAGCAGAATATATTTATTGAGGGAAAGAAAGATTCTGTCCCAGAGAGAGAAAGAAGGGAGGCCCAAGTGAGTTGCCCAAGACCCTGTCTTTTCTAGGGACCTTTATAGAGCAAAACCACGAAGTGAGGCAGGTCCAAGGTAAGGGAAAAATGGGAAATCACAAGGTGGGCATGAGGTGGGACAGAACTATGGTCAGCCAATAAGAATTGTTCAGGTAAAATTGATTACATCGGGATCAAATGGGGAAGCAAGTCATGTAGCAAGTGGGCTTGAATACAGAACAGGGGCTTTTCCTTTAAGGGGTTGGATCAGTGACTCTTCAAGGTGATCAGCTACCTATTTAGAATATTAATCCCTGATGTCCATCCCTAGGGAGGTATGTGGGTGCATTTGTTTAATCTTTTGTCTTGAGATCTGGCCCACAGCAAATATGTATCTTATCTTGTCTTTCATGTTGGCTCCTTTGAGGGCCTGGCCCTGTCTGACTGCCTGTAATATGTCTGTCTAACTCAGCTGCCTATAACAACAGTATCACCCATGCTAGGCGTGGTGGCACACACCTGTAATCCCAGCACTTGGGAGGCTGAGGCAGGAAGATCATAGCAAATTTAAGACTAGCCTAGGCTACAAAGTGAGCTCAAGGCCAGTCTGAACTTCATAGTGAGGCCCTGTCTCAAAAAGACAAAAAAAAAAAAAAAAGAAACAACAGTATCACCCTGGAGACCACGGACCTTTAGGGGACAAACCACAGCAGGCCCCAAGGTTGCAATAATCTCATTTGAAATATTTTGTCTCATTCTAAGACTAGGAGTCAACAATACAGACCCCAAATCCATAAGGATCCCCACTTCTCCTTTGGAGTTGGCCTGGAGTCCACTTCAACTGTATGCTGGGGATTGGGTTGCTCTGCCTCCAGACACAGAGCACATGAGCAAAAGTTTATTAATTCCAGAGAATGGTACAGTTTCTCTCTCCCAGGACCGCTGCAGAATGAGTAGAAGATGAGGCAGAGGTTCCAAGCAACAGAATGCTCAGCCAATGTCGGAGAACTTGTGTGCCGAAACACCTAGGGCAGTACTGGAAGATGAAGAAGAGCTCAGGCTCTGGAGTTCAGCTGCCTGGGTTCAGTTCTGATTCTGCTATTTAGTGCATGATTGTAGGTCAGTTAGGATCATTCTGTAGGCAATAATAACAGGGCTACCCCTATGGGGCTGATTGAGCATTAAATGAGGTGACACACATAATGTTCTTAGAATGCTATGGGGCATGTAGCAATTATGTAACAAATAAGACTTTCCGTGGTTAACCTGCTGCCACCCTTGAAAATATAAATGCATCTCCCCAAGAACAAGTTGTGAGTCTATGATCAGAGCCTGGCACTTTGAAAACTATTCTAGAACAAGCAGCAAATGGTGGTGAAAGGGAGAATGTACTGGGAAGATTCTGGTTTGATGCTTTGTATTTGGAGAGAAACAGACCATGTTCCAAGATGTCTGATCATCAGGTGGGAGAGTAGGGCACTGTCAGCAGCTCTACACGGTAACAAAGGGATAATGCATTTGGGAGTATCACAGTACATTTCCCAGCCTCCTTTACCTGTCACTTATTATCTTGTTTCTAGGACATCTAACACCACTAACCACAGCACTAACCTATAGACTTTCGTACACGCACGGTTTCTCTGATTTTATTCCACCTGCCTCTTAACGACTGGTTGACCAGCAGCTCCTCTGTAGGCTACCCAGAAGGGGCCCCCTGAAGCCTGCACACCCTCCCTTCCCTGTCCCCAGTTCATAGGGTCATTGAGTGCTAACCAGAAATGGGCCAGATCCCTTCAAAAGGATGCAGGTATTTCATTCCAAGAGATGTGCCACCATTGTGTATACTGCTGAGAAAGAAATGACACTGCCAATTATATGTGTCAGGTGGTATTGCTTCATACTTAATATCACTGAGATCTGGGCTCACCTGGGAATCACTGAGGCAAAGTCCCTGTGTCCTCGCTGATGGCTTTTAGCTGGTCTATGTCAAATCTCAGATGCTGACCTGGAAAGGGTCTCAGCGCTCAGGCCCCTTGTGGGACAGATGATGTCACATGATATCCCTGAGGCCATGGGAGAAAAGCTTGTAGCACTCCGGTCTTCTGCTCAGTTTTGCATTATTTTCAGTGACCAAATTCCTCCTTATCTGTTCCTTTGTCTTCTTTGTGTTGTTTTTTTTTTTTTTTTTTTCCTTTGCTTTTACTTCCTCTCTCTTTGCAGCCTAAGAGTAGGATGTAGCCTTGCAGGCCATTGCAGACAGTCCAAAAAATGAGTGCTGAAATGCAAGGGCCTAAGAGGTCTCCAATTGCAGAGCATTCTAATGTCGCTTCATGACTGTCTTCCTCCCCTTGGTTCCAGTCACAGAGGAAAGGACAGGAAATGGAACCAGGGTCAAGCACCAGAAATCACCATGCTGGCCACCATTATCCTTAATAGCCCAAATCTTGCTTGTCATTGATTTTTGGTTTTCAAAGAGTTTGTTTCTTTATTTTGTTTTCTGCCCAATACAGACTGGATGGAACCGTGAACCAAATTGAAGGTGAAGCCACCCTGACCAACATCACGGAGCCCGCCAAACTAGGAGTTAAGTTTTTCCAGCGTAAGTAGGAACTTTTCTCAGGAGGTTTCAGGGATGGGGCTATGCAGAGGCAAGGCGAGAGCCATGGGGTACCCCTGTTGCATCTGAGCGTCATCCATAGGACTCAGCAAGCAGTCACTGAGCACATACTACACGCTATGCACTGGGTTGGGCACTGAGGTACAGTGATGGGCAACACCAGGCTGGCCTTGTCCTCATGGAACATGAGTTCCCACGTGGACATTCACCAGCAACCAGGAGATTTCCTGTAAACTATCCCTGGTGCTCAGTGAGTGTGGCCCAAATGGAAACACTCAGGACAGGCGCAGTAAGAGGAACAATCCAGCCTTACTTCCCAGGGGAAACCGAGGCCCCCAAATGAGTAGCATTATCAAAACAACCAGTGTGAGCAGAAGCTTGAAGGCAAGAGAAGACAAGAGGGAAGGCCAGTTTGAGTCCTGCCTCTGCCACTTTCTAGTCATTGTTGGGACTCTGGGAAATATTTACCACAGGCATCTGACCTCTGAGTTTTGAACTAAACAGAGAATGGATACAGCAGGCAGGGAAAGCATCCAGTGTCAATTTTACAGCTGATGTAGACACACTGGAGAATTCAGCTCAGGCCCTTGAGGCTTCCCAATGTGGAGAGCGTCCTGGGAACCCCTCTAACCACTGCAGGGGAGACAGTGCAGTCACCAGTTGCAAGAGAGGTCACCTTTAAGTGTCCTCACCTTTGCTAACGTCCCTCCCCCTGGAATCCCCAGCGTGGGCAAGGAGGAAGTTCTTGTTTATAAACCAAGAGAGGAACCCGAGGAAGTAAACAACTCATCCCACACATACAGTGATGAGCAAACAACATCCCACATACAAACCAGGGGTGACGGCCCTGGGTCATGAAGATAAACCTAGGAGACCATGTCCGTGAACTCTTCAGGGCTTTTGTCACAGCGGTGGTTCTTGTCACTCTTTCACAGAAGAGTTATCCGGAAGTTGACATGCAGGAGGGCTGAGTGGTCTGGGCAGGCACGGATGTAATCAGAGGCAGAGCCTCTAAACTCACAAATGAGATTTTCCCATGACAGGGATACAAAAGGGATGGCAGATGGTAGTGAAGGTTAAGTAACTTCTGCTCAGTCTGCATAAGGCAGGGGAAGCCAAGGAAGAAGATATTTGTTCTCACTCAAGGGCTCTGATGTTAGATCTAGGGCCTCGTAGGCTGTATAGGAGATTGTGGGGCAGCACAGATGTTCCAAGCAGAGGAAATGGCATGGGAGATGCCTGGGTAAAGCAGCCTAGAGCAGAGGAGAGTACATGGCATGCGGGACAGGGCTAAGAAGGCCCTTGAATGCCATGCTAGAGAGCTTGCATTGCAGCCAACCTGAACTGCATAGTGAAATCATTTCTCAAATAAACAACAAAAAAAATTAAAATACAAAAAAGGCTCAGTGCAAAGGCCCTGGGTTCACTCCCCACTTCTGAAAAAAATAAACAAACAAACAAACAAAAAAAAATAACTCCAGAGTCCTGGAGATGCGTCTCTCCTGCTCGGTCCCTCCTCATGCTGCCTTCCTCTGGTTCTCAGTGATGCCATCAGCACCGTATTGGGTCCTGGCCACCGACTACGACAACTATGCCCTCGTCTACTCCTGTACCAACATCGTCTGGTTTTTCCATGTTGACCACGTTTGGATCTTGGGAAGAAACCGTTATCTGCCCCCAGAAACAGTGACCTACCTAAAAGATATCCTGACTTCTAACAGCATTGACATCAAGAAAATGACCATCACAGATCAGGCGAACTGCCCCGACTTGCTGTAAGGAGGCTCTAGGGCGTGGCAGCAGCCACCCTGTCACTTCCTCTGCTTTGCTTTCCCCGCCTGGCCCACACCTCCTAAAGACACAGAACCACCCATGATGACAGCTGCAAACACCGGCAGGGGAGTTCGCAGAAGCCACTGGAGGGGCACTCGAGGAAAGCTGGCCCAACACTTAGCCTCTGCTCACCCTGCCACCTTGCCACCAACAATAAACATGTTGTGACCTTTTGTGCCTGGTGGACTCTGAATCAGGGTGATCATTATGTTGGCTTTCTGTCACTCTGACAAAATACCTGAGGTAAACAACTTGAAAGGAGGAAAGGTTCAAACTAGGCCCCGAATCCCACTGCCTCCCAACAGCCCATTAAACTGTGAAAGCGTCAGTCAATTACTTATTGATGAGGTCAGAGTGTTCATGGCCCCAACACCCCCAAATGCCTCACCTCTGCACACTGCTGTCCTGGGGACCAGACCTTCAACACAAGAGCTTTTAGGGGACATTGTGGATCCAAACTATAACAATTACAGTGTGTTTTTGTTTTTAGCAGTGCATTCTTAGACATCCTTAAAAAGTTACATCATGGAAGACTAAGCTCGGAGCTGTCCTGGTTTCAAGGTCACAATCCTGCTCTGGGGAAGCTGATGGCACAGGTGCATTTTGGTGACCTGAAGCAAGTGTCCCCATTCTGCTCTTGATGCTCTCCAAGGGTAGGGGCAGGGAGTTCCTGAGTTTACCACACAGTTTCCTTGAAGCTTTTACTCTCATCAGGAAATCCTGAGTCAGGCTAAAGAGCGACCTTCCCTGGGTCTGTGCGAAGAGGCAGGGGATCTATGCAGGGGAAGATACTGGGGATTGTTTTTAAAGATTATTTGTGTGTGTGTGTGTTTCATTCAGTTGCATTTTCTGAGGCCCAAGTGCATTCCAGAGATTGGAAAATACAGGCTCTGGGCCGTCCCACAGGAGCTTGCAGTCTGTCGAGGGAGACAAGGAAGTGGAGAGCTCACTGTAACCCGAGGTGAGGATGGCAAAGGCAGAGGCTTGTGGAGGGTATAGCCCGGTGGCACAGTCACTGCTGGGGCGTCCTACTTCCCTGCTCTGTCCTACCCTCTGCTGAGGTTTTACACCTTGTGACTTAAAATCAGAAAGCCCTCCAAATTACCACCCTACAGTGTCACATAGCTCACATCAATGTTATAAGCCACTAATGTTTGGGGAAATGAATAGAAAATTAAGCCCTTTGATTTAACTTTCTGCTTTTTTAAAAACAGGACTATAAAATATTATTTTCCTTGAATATTTGAGACTTTTTAATGCTTTATGTTAAAGGTGACCAAAAAATATCAACACATACAATTTTTGTTTAAATAAATGTAAGCTGAAAACCTAACTTCCAATCTGAAGTCCCAGAAGGCTGAAAGCCACTGGGAAAGGTGAGGAGGAGGGGAAGGTGGTTAGAGCCTCTCGCAGGTTTGCTGGCTGTCAGGCCCTGTGCTTTTCCACACCGCCAGCATACTGGAAGGCACTCGGCTCCTCTTATAAAGAAGTTATTCTGTGATTCAAGCTGCCATCTGTCTTTTATCTCATTGCACAAAATAAGTTGGGATTTCATTCCTCTTAAGAGCTTCCTGGGAACATCTAAGACAAGGTGATGATGTTTTGCACTAGTTTAGCGCCTCACGCAATACACAGACTCGATTATTTCATGTAAAGGAATTACTGAATGGGTGGGCAGGTGGATGGACATGCGTTTTTCAGGGAAGAAGTGAAAGGAAACTACGACAGCAGGTATAACTAAGCTTGACAAAAATGTTGGCGACTCTGGAGGGTAGTATGTGGGTACCAAGTATCTAGAGGAAACATGAGGGAAACATGGGGAACAAAACAATCCAGAGGGGAGAGGAAGAGAAGAGAAGGGGGAAGTAAACAGCGAAATGGAGGCAGAGGTTCATAGTAAATCCCCACGCGCCCATCGTCCTTTCCAACAGTCACCAACGTGTCACCAATCTTAGTGCAGCTCTCACCCACCACATTCATAGTGTTTCAAAACAAACCCCAGATGTCACATCCTATTACGTAGCGAGGAGCTACCTAAGTATATATCTCTAGCAAATGTAAACACTTCTAAAAAATGCATGTCTTATGTCCTTAAAGTGCTCAGAGGATGTAATCTCTATGTAAGTTTAAAGATATCTTAACATACTCTCGGTAAAAGGGAATATGTGCAAAGACATTCATCATAGTTTTGTAGGTAGTAGCCCCAACTGAAAGAAGCTAAACTAAACCTAGCAGCAGAGGAATCAGAGAAGTAGGATCAATAATTATGGGACAACCACTTGATGCCATATCACACAGTCATTAAAATGTGAGAAATGAAGCTGGACCTAGTGATGTACTTAGGAAGCTGAGCTACCTAGTGACTTCAACGACAGCCTGCACTACATAGCGAGACCCTGTCTCAAAAACAAAAAAATTGAGAGGATGAGAAGCCACCCAAGAGTTGGTGCTTGCTCACCCACACTCACTGCTGGGAAAGCCCCTGCTGGGGGACTTTGCTACCCTGCAGAGCTCGAATCTGGACCATGTGTTTCTGAAGGAATATGACTGCCACCGCCCTAGGCTGACCGAACCATTGTAAGACACTTCTACCCCACTGTGATTTTACATCTGCTAGAGATGTATATAATCATGGGTTAGTAAGGCCCAGCAACCGTGGTTACATTGCCTAACTCCCGTCATTCTTCAGCGCTGCTCGAGACAGGAAACCACCACTCCCTGTGCGTCCTCAAGCCTTGTCCCTGGCAGGTAACCTCCACTCCTATTCACTGAACCCTCCCCCTCAAAAGCCCCCGTTTTACTTTTTCCTTTCACAGCCCCCGCCCATTATGCTCATGACCCTATAAAAGATCTGACAGCCTGTGCAAGAGTTACTGGTCTGGTCTAAGTGCCAGGGAGCTCCCTCTCAGATTAGTTCTGAAATAAACTTGTCCTGTTGAGCTTGCACCTTTGTTTGTTCCTTCTTTGTTCCTAACAGTGTCTGCCTCCCCACCCACCCTACTAGACCAGGGCAGGTGCACCGGAGCACTACCACACTAGTGACAGCCAGTGCACAAGCTGAGGTTTGTAGACTAACCGGGTAGAAAAGATAAATTGGAACCATCAGATCAGGATGTGACTTTAAGAGAGCTGGGGAAAGAATAATTGAAAGCTCCTGTATTAACTTTTTGTAGCTGTGACCAAATACCTGGCATTCACAACTTCAAGGAACTCACGCTTTTGAAGGTTTCAGTCTATAGTGGGCTGGCTTCAAGGCGGAAATATGGTGGGAGAGCGTGGCAGCCCTTCTCAGGAAGGAGAAAGCAAGAGAGCCATGGAGCCAGGAAGGGGCAGAGGACAAGAATATACTCTTCCGGGTTACATCTACAGGGACCCACTTCCTCCAACCAGGCCCCACCTCCTAACAGCACATTCAGCTATGGACTCATCACTGGATTAATCCGTGTTAATGAGGGCTGTGTCCCCTGATCTAATCACCTTCCCAAAGCCCCACCTCTGAGGCGGACCATAACAGCCCTGAAGCTGTAAGGTCACATAGTCAGTCTGCAGTAGCTGTTGTCGGTGACGTGCAGCTCAACTTGTGAAAGTACAGGGGAAAACAGAGATCGGCAGAAACCCTGCACACACACACCCCAAGCCCCCCAACAGCAGCTTCAGTAACTGATGGCCTTGCACGCTCTAGCTCCAGTCCTGCACACCTTAGCTATTTTAGGTACCTGTCCTTGGAGTTCTGCAAGATTACACACACACACACACACACACACAGAACTTTTTTCAGAGATAATTTAACTTAACTCAGTAGATGTTCTTTGGAACCAAAATAGCTCTAAGACAAAACCATTTGCAAAATAATATTGAGTGGGAAAAAATGCGGCTTTTTAACTATGCTGTATTTATAGCTACATGAAAAGATGACATAAAATCAAGAACTAAAAACGAACAGAGAAAAATGAAAGCAATTAACGTGTTAGATGTTATGTGGGAATTTTTTTCTTTTTTAGTTTTGCTACTGCTATTTGTAGTATAGACCCTAAAGTATACACAGACCCTAAAACCTCCTGTGAGTTCAACCTGACCCTCTGGGAAGTTCGGCGCCCAAACCCCTCACCCCCAAATAGGTCTCTTCTTCCAACAGCTACTCCAGACATTGAGGTCTCTCTCGAGCAGTCTCCCATCCCATCTTGTTCATTATATACTGAGAGAAGGGCATGATTTGCAAAATGCAGGATGTGTTGTAGTTTCAAATTTCTCTATTAAAGCAATATTTGTTTACAACCAACAACTTCCTCTGTAAACTTTTAGAAGACATAAAGGGATATATCACATAATTTTACTTTCAAGACTGTCCATTGTTTTATTTTATAACTGACTTCCCCCAAAAGCAATCATTTTCACCTTGATAAGTATGACAACGATGAAAAAATGTATGTTAAATATAATCAACTTCCATGCTAAAAATCAATTATTTCAGGTAGTTATGACATTAAAACAGACTTAAGATTTCCCAGTAGACAGGGTGATGGGAATAAATTAGAAACACCAAGGAGACTGGGTGTGATGGCTCATGATTATAATCCCACCACTCAGGAGGCTGTGGCAGGAAGATCACCATGAGTTCAAAGCCAACCTGGGCTAAATACTGAGACCTTATCTCAAAACAAACAAAAAGAAATGCCAAGGAATAGTGTGGTGGGAGTTAAGGGGATAGGATTCAGCTTTGGTCTTGACCCTACTAGTGAGCCCCCCATTCCAACAGCTCTCCAGGGTTTCTTCCACTTATAGTGTTAGGGTTTTGTGCCAGAGTAATAAAGTAGAATTTTGCTGAGAAGGAGGGAGTACGTGTTCCTTTTTAGGGAAGATAAACCATAAACTTATAAGAGCAACTCCTCACTTTATTTTGTGTCTTCTTTTAAACCTCATCAATGTATGCATTATGGCATTGGGGATATAGTTCAGTGGCACAAGCGCCTGCCTGGTCGTGAAGTTAGATTCCTGGTTCCCCCCCACAAAAAAGGAAGAAAATGTATGCATGCCAAAATGATATATAGTATTTTGATATATTTTTCCATGGAGATACATGTGTCACTCGTATTGTATATTATATTCTGTAAATGCATTGAAAATATTGCATTTTACCCCCCTAAGTTTTCTTCATCTGTATAAGATGAGCAAC